CTGCGGCTGCTCGTCCAGCGGAACAGGCGAGTTCTTGGGAATTCAGCTTCTCCCTGGGAGCGACCAAATGGAAGGAGAGAGGGTAAGAGGTCGAGCTGCTCTCGCCTTCTTGCAAGCCGCCCAGGCTGGTAAATAGGGCATATGGAGTGTGGGGAACTGGGGTGGGTGATAGTGACAGGAAACCAGAAATCTGAACCCTGACCAGTGTCTGGAAACCCCAACTGGAAAAGGCTTGTCAGCACCATAGTAATGTACTGAGAATTGGGGCAAAAGCAAAGCAAGCAAGCTAATATTGTCTTGTAATCTCTTTTACATTTAATTCAGTGGAGGTCCATACAGGTTTCTCTGTTAAACAGAAGCTTGTGATCTCTTACGATATGTGAGAGCAGGAATATTTTGAGTGTAAGTAGGTGATCCACTGGTGATGGTGTTAGAAAGATCTTTGCTGTCATAGTGATTCATCTAATCGAAAATAAGAGGCAGCATCTAATCACATTTAACAGGCTCTCTGGCAAATCTGTTTCTGCCTGGTTCTACAACTCTGACTACTGAAGCAGTGAGTTGTGTGGTGCATGGCAACACGTCACAGCTCTGAGGGGGCCGTGCTGTCTCTGTGCCTTTTAACTGAGTTTCACTGGGAGAACCTGTTCTGCACTTCTTCCCAACCCCCAGATGAAAGACTCGTTTTAGAGACAGAGCTTCTTATGGTGTGTGGAGTATTCAGTTTAAGGGGTGTCTGGATCATCTTAGTCATCCTCTGTTTACCTTGTCCTCACACTCCTTTTGGAGGAGAAAGTAAACTATCACTATAGTGTTCAAATCGCTTCCCAAAGTTTACAACGCTTGTCCTGATCTTTTTATAACGTCTCTCTGTTTATTCCTGTGTGACTATTTCTAGGTGTCTTTAACATCCCTTTTTTCATACTACTGAAAGCTCTTTTGTCCAGCTAAAATGCAGTTTGCTTCCTCCTGAAGTGAGTTTTACATGGCACATCTTTATTTGTGCTTAGCCACATTCTATTTAAAGATGAGTCTTTCCTTTATCTGCAGAATTTGGGTTGTTAGCATATGCTTACCCATTGGATTGCAAAACAATTTTTATGGCTTTCCAAGTAACTGTCTCCCAAATAGCTGCCTCATGGCTTACTCAGATACTTTCAGTACTGTGTGTGCTGCTAAACCTCAGTATCCCCCCAGTGTAGGAGTGGAGAGATTTACCAAGTGATAACCTTTGGTATATATTGCAGAGTTAACACTTGGCACTACAGAAACTGTTAGTTCACCTTGGATAAAAAAAAAAAATACTTGGAACATTTGGACTGAAATGATGTTGAAACTCCCCTTGATGGTGGTGGCAGTGGTGAAACTGGACAACGGCTGTTCTGGGAGCTGAATGCATTCTCTCAGTGATAACTTTGCTTTCTCCACTCACTGTACTAGTGTTCAAGACCTAATGAGTCTTAATTTCTGTAGCATAAAAGCTCTGTGTGAAAATGTTACAGCTATTTCCATGGCTTATCAGTAAATCCTGAATGTCTCTTACCAAAGCAAGAATAATCTGTTCCTTAAATTCAATCACTAAAGCTTAACTTCTGTCAGATACTGGAATTTCCCTTTGAATTAGCAGGTTATGCATTAGATGCAGAGATACTTGGAAAAATTGGCTCTAATCCAGAGGTGAACTGGTGCACTGAAGGTGGGGTCTTAAAAGGCAGCTGAGCTTGCCTGACAGCCAGCTATCAGTGAAATGGCTTGTCCTGCCTTTTCTGAAGGCTGTGTTCCCCTTTTCACTCACACTAGCACTTTTCTGTCACTGGACTGGACTGGAGAGCTGAACTGTCAGGAACAAAAATTGAGTTTATTTTTCCTGTTCGTTCTGTGACCTCATTGTTTAGGTCAGTGCTGGTGGTGGGATCACTTGTGATGAGCACTGGCCATGAGTTTAGCCTGTGCTTGTAGCTTGCAGGTGCCCAGAATGGCTGGTGAGCTGTTCTGCTCTCCGCACTGTTGGCGGTTTCCAAGGACTGCAGTGGAGGAGGCAAGTAGTTGGTGAGTGTTGGGGGGTGATCCCCTTGATTTCAGAGAAAGCAACTTGTTGGAGAGGGTGGGAAAAGCTATTAAGAGTTCTTAAAATCTAGGTGATACACTGTGCAAAAAAATCAGGATCTTGGTTCAGAACAATGCCCAACTACAGGCTTTATGGGTTGATTTGTTTTTCAGTCCTGTAACACCAAACCGATGTTAATTAAATCATTTACATATGCAGAATTTAAGCCCTTTTTTAGTGAGTCTTGTTAAATTATTGCATGCTAAGCCCTTCAGTGCAGTCACTGTGCAGTGCTGACATTATTGTACTGAAAATAGCTGTATCTGGGGCCTGCACTGATTCTTCAGGGTTATAGGACTGGTTGTCTCTCCTCTGTAATCCCCATAAGAGGGAGCAGATCTCAAGCAACTTTTCTGGTGTTTGTAATAATCTTTAGGAATGTGGGTGCCTGGTATTTCTGCTGTTCTAAAAAAAAAAATAAATAAAAAAATCATGGACAAAAATGCAAGGAGACTATTGAGTCATTGTACTGCAGTGAAGGGACTCAGGGAGAACCAGACTCTGGGGGTTTTATTTAATTTTCCAACATAAATGCTGGTGCACGTTGTTCAGCTAATTCTAACATCTCCGTGTCCTGTTTTGTAGAAAACAGAAGGGAGAAGAAAACATTTAATAGTTAGTCTGAACTTTTTTTGTGTTTTATATTAACAAACTGAATTTGGAAACTCTTGGTAACATAGTTATGTCAGTACACTGATCCTTTATCTTTATAAGCCAAATAGCCTCTTCTGGTGAGGCTGGGAAAGAATCTTCTCATGAAGAGAGAGCAAAATACAATACATGACTAATAAATAAACCCCATTTTAAAGCTTTGATTAATAAATAGCCTTTTGGAAAAGGGAATTGGTATAAAGCATACTTCAGGAGTGAAAAGCATTGTCATGAGAAACTTCCCTGCAATTAAAAATGTGATTAGGACTGCTGGCCATGTTCTAGTGGGTCAGAGCTCTCTTCTGGCCTTTAGAAATAAGTGGGAAAACCGCTGTTCCCAGTTTTCACAAATAACTTGTAGATACTGATTAACCCAATGTGATGGCTGTTACCATCCTTGTGATTATTAGATGGGATCTCCTTAAGTGGATATATACAGGTTGGTGAAGGGAAGTGCTTTTTCTCTCTGCCAGAGGATTGAGCATCCTATTCTAGAAAAGACCACTGGTGTCCCAGGCTGCTAGAGGTCTCTGTCCTCCCAGAACAAAGCAATCCCTTCAGTGAATACAAGCTAGATGTTTGGAATATGCCTTTATCAGGAGCTCTACACTAATAATGCTGTGCAGCCCACAGGGGAGATTTCTGCACAAGTTAGCAGGCTGCTCTTCATCACCATGATTGTAACTTCCCTGATCCAAGAACACACACGTGTACGTGCACAGAAAACGGTTCTGTGTTTGCACAGAATATACTTAGGTGACAGTAAAAATTCCCAACTCCTGGCTGTGTCTTGGTCTTAAAATACCTATAATTATGCTATAGTATGTACACTTCTAACAAAATGGACTGGGTTTGTAACAAATTTGAGACTGTTGGAGGCAAGATAGTCTAGAAAGCGTGGTAAGAGTAAAAATAGAATCACTTTATTATGTCCCTTTGAGCAAACCTCTTTATGGGTTTGAGTATTTCAAACTTCCTTTAGAAAAATGGGGTTTGAGCAGAGGTTTGATTTAGGGATCCCTGGATCCTCTTGTGCATATTTGCTTGTTAAACTAAGAGGAGCATTTAAATCTATGTTTGACTTTCTAATCCCATTAGAGGGGGAAGTGGCAACACAAAGCCCCTCTGGTGTATGTTAATGACTTGGCTGCCAACACAGAACCAGCTGTTCTTCTTTTTAAATAGTTTTACTTCAGCATTTTGTTGTCTTTTCTCAAGATGTTTTGCCTCTTGCAAGGAGGCAGTATGTGCTAAGAACAGTTGATGCAAAGCCTGTAGCAGAATAAGCCATCTGATTACTTGATGTCATGAGTTTAACACTGCCACCTTGCTCAATCTCAACAGTTTTGTTTTGGCTCATATGGACTGTGCTTAGTGAAGTGCACATTTCAAGTCTCATGTCATAGTTGGATATGTTTAACTGCAGCTGCCAAGTTTCCTTTATGTGCTGCTTTTATCTGTGTGAATCACAAAGGAAGTCGGAAGTGGTCTCAGGGTGCAGCGTTTAAGCCACATGGTGGTGGTGATGTGCAGGGACAAAACCAGTGTCTGGTACTATTAGTTCCATCCTACTTCTAGAGATTTCCTGTTTCTTTTAAGTTACTTTGTCCTCAGTTAAATTTCTCAGGTAATTTATACCTGAATCTTCTAATTGTAAAATCACTCGATGTGTGTTACATTCTGCTGTTGTAGCTACTGTGCAATTGTTCCCTTCCTTTCTCTCATGATCTCCAAAAGTTGTTCTTTTGGCTTGGATTTTTGTTCATACAGTCTGTTTCTGAAGGTTATTTACTTTCAGCTTGTTGTGTTCAGGGGTTTCACCTTGTGTGTAGCTCGGTAGATGCAGCTTTATGAGTTATGGATGTCCAAAGATGATGTGTGTTGTGATAAGGTTGCTTAGCAAGGCAGCTGTCTTAGGCTTCAGTCTTTCTGACTTGTCCTTTAATAGGTAGTGTTAAATTCCCTCTGTGTGCCACAAGAACAGGTAAATGTTCAATGCTGCCTTGGCATCCTCACCGGGGCTGTTGGCAGTTGTTTGATTTCAGGGAAGGGGAAGATGAGATCAGCTCCCATGACCCACTTCAGAAGCAACAAAGATGAGGCCTGGAGGCAGATTCCCTCTTTAATATTTGCTGCTTTTTTCAGCTTTTCCACAGAAGTGTTTTTTCCTTTTCCTACAGATGCCCAGCACTTGTCCTCTTTCATTTCCTTCTAGACCAAAGTTGACTGTTGTGCATCTTGACAAGGAAGACTTACTTTACAAACCACTTCTAGGTTTGTACTATTTCCAAAACAACTTTATTCTTGGTATTCCTCAGCCAGTTTGCCCAAATGCACAGTGAAATCTGAGAGAGAAGAGAGCTGTAAAGCAAGATGTGTGTCTCATTCAGTGACAAAGATCACAAATTTTCTTCTGACTCATTCATCCAACTGTTAACATGGCTTAAAAAAGCCTGAAGTGGCAGCCCTGAGTCAGAGTACAGCTGCACTTAAAATGCACTTGATTAACTTTAGTCTTGACCCTTAGACTCTGGATGCGTGCAGTACAACTAGTGTAGTTCGTTCCAATATTAACTGTTTAATTAACTGTTAAGCGTGTTTGCAGGGTTTTTTCTTGTGGTAATCTTCAGTTATACAGTAAGGCTTGTCATTTGCATAGGATTTAGAACAGTCTTTAGTATTTACTAATTATTGTGGCGAGAATAAACTTTAGGAATGGATTTAGTCTCCTTTCTCCACACTCCCCTATATACTGAAAGCATGCAACGCTGCCAGAACTTAAAAAGAAAGATGCTGCCCAGAAAGGAACTACTCAGCTGTATTTTCTAACCTGAAGTCAATGTTGTGATAGTTTAATTTAGGACAAATGTAAATACTGAATTATGAAAGAAAATGTTTGTGTGCCTTTTCTGTCCGTTTTTTAGAATATAGTTAAATGCTGTCTGGAAGATACCTATACACATGTGGATTCCCTCACCCCATTTCATGCTTGGAAGTACTCTAATATTGCATAAACTGTATGAATCAATGTGCCTTACAACACATCAGACTTTGTGTGGGATAATGGGGTTTTGTTGAATGGCTTCTCCTCCTAGTTCTAACGCAGGAATTTCAGCAGTCTGGCAGTTCTGCATGAAGGCTCGTGGCATGGGGCATTTACTTTCACAAGTCTCAACCTGTCCAAAAGCTCCTGTTATCTGAAGGTAGAAACCTGCTGGATAATCTTGTAGTTAGAAACAAATGTAAACTTAATCTAAAACTTACTACATTGCACTTACTCAAACAGGAGCATACGCTGACTCCAAATGTGTCCTAGTGATCTGGCTGTGCTGAATGGTGCAGGCAGTGGGCCAGCCAGGTACTAGCTTGCATTCAGAGTGACAATACAAACCCTAGTAGAAGTCTCCATTAAGTAATAACCAGTGCTGTTTAGGAAGCTGGGTGACAGTTAAGCACTTGTCATAATCCAGAGGCAGTGAGTTTTCCTGCACACCTCACAGTCCTATAAAACATGCTAGTCTAGATCCTGTTTGGCAATTCTGTATTTGTTCCTTTATAATTATTGTAATTGTAGAGCAAACTAACCAGTGAGCTTGCAGGATGAAGGGATATGTGGGACTAGATACGTTTTGCATTCCCAAGAACTAAGGCTCAGCATCTGTTGCATGATGATATAATTTCCTTTTTACTACTGCACTACTAAGTTGTATATACAAGTGCCTATTTTCTTTCTGCAGAGGATGTTATTTTTAATGGAGGTAGAAACTGTGTGTACTTGCGTGGAGCATACAGAGTGCAATTTCACACACCAGCTACGCTGAGGTAATAGCTGCTGCTGCTACACAAGTACACATGCTTTGCACTGTTGCTTTTCTGAGCTGTTAAAGGGAACTAGCTTGGCAGAAAGCTTATTAATGTTTTTAATTTGCACAGAATTAGTCTTCTGTCAGCCTGACTCCCTGAATCAGTTTGTACAGGGTGTTGAGTGCCTGAGCATGTGAGTGGGAGTAGGATTGCCCTTTCAGCTCCTGGCCATCTGATAGCTGAGCTGTAACATGAAACCCTGAGATAGACAAACGAAAACCAAGGTCAGCCTTCATCTCGCAAGAGCTCCATCAAAACGCAGTTCTTGTAACGTGGAAAGGTGCTGCTGGATTTTGCTTTTCTCCAAGTCCTTGTCCAAAATGCTCTTTGGGTGGAGCATGACAACAAGTTTCCCCAGTGCTCCCAAGTGTTCTCAAACTGGAGTGGAGAAGAATTTTTATTAAATCCGAGTCGTAAGTATGTGTTTCTCTCTAGATGTTGATGACTCTGTACATATGGCCTGAGTCTGCAGAGTACGTGGATCTGTTATGCCTTGAATATCCCCTTGCCTTCCTTCCTTCCTTCCTTCCTTCCCTGCTAACATCTGTCTCTGCCCATGCAGTTCCTGAGGGTGACGAAGCAGTACCTCCCTCACGTGGCCCGCCTCTGCCTGATCAGCACCTTCCTGGAGGATGGCATCCGCATGTGGTTCCAGTGGAGTGAACAGAGGGATTACATTGATGGCACGTGGAACTGTGGCTATTTCCTGGCCTCCATCTTTGTGTTCATAAATCTCTTCGGACAGCTCAGTAAGTGGCTCTAAGGCTGTTCAGGCGGTTGCCAGAGCACTCCGGTGTGTCTGCCGCCCTGGCTCATGTAAGCACTGTGAATCGTGTAAGCACGAGGTGCCTCACTGATTTCTTAATAGTCATTGACAGCTTAGAACTGATGGTACTTCATGGGCTGAATGAAAAGAACTCTTAATTGACCTGCTTCAGCCTTTCCTGGAAGTAGTATTAGAGAATTTCTTGTGGCGTACTACCTCTGAGTCAAAGATGCCAAGAATCCATTAGGACCATCTGCTTTCAATTCTGTACGTGCATCTATAAACACATACCACACTCCCTGAATTCTCTAAATGAAATACTCATGTTTTCTTGAACAGGGCAGTGTTAAGACTTTCTCAGCCTGCTGTTTTTATGGGTATTAATCTCAATGGCAAAATCTTAATCTGCAGTTGGTACACTTAAGCCTGAGAGAGATGCTTATGTCAGACTTTCAAAGTCCAGGAATCAAAATAATCCCAGAAGCAAAACTTCTCTGTGTGTGCTAGGTGGACTTAGAGTATCAGAAACTGAGAGAAGTAAAATGCTTTTCTGTTTGTTATGTCCTTGATCTACTGTTCTTGATTGCTCTGCCAATTTCTTGTCTTGTGTCTGGGTTTTTTTTACCCTCATATTTTTGTGTAGAGAGTCAGCTTAATTTAGTTTAGTTACTAGTCCTCATGTCAAAGTGGCAAAGGCTGTCAGTGCTTTTTGACAGAAGACTTGAGGAGGGGTATAAAACAAAAGCAGTACATCTGTCCTAACAGTTACCTCATTTAAAAAAAGAAAAATCCACGGTGAGTTGAATTTCTGTTTAACTTCTTTTAATGCCTTAACACTGATAGCTGCTCTACAGTACTCCATATGTTGGGACTGCATTTAGCACGTGCTTACCCTTTGTAGAATAAAAGATACTTCTGGAATTGTATAATATTTTAAAATGCACTGAAAATTCTTGGTTCTCAAACTGATTTGTGCCAGTGTGCCCTTAAAATTTCCTGCCTGATGTTCTCCATGGCACAGTTGAAAGAAATTGGAGTCTGCTCAGTTCAAAACAAGTTAGCATTCCCGCAGCATCTTTTCCTATGCAAGCCAGAAGTGTAACTGTGTTCAATTTCCCCAACTCAGGTGGCTGTATCCTGGTGCTGAGTAGGAACTTTGTGCAATATGCCTGCTTTGGACTGTTTGGAATTATAGCATTACAGGTAGGAGGCTTAAGTCTTCAACCCTTCTAAACCATATCTTTCAAATCTTCTCTCTTAGCCCCAGTACTACCAACACATATTTAAATACAACTTGCAACCCTGGAATTTTTTTCCACCTTGGCCTAGTGCCAGTCCTCAGTGGCATTGAACTATTTTGCTGTTTCTGATGTGCCGAATAGATCCTTGTCTGTAATTGCAATTAGTCAGCTGAAGAAGTTGATTCAATACTTGACCTTGACCAATTTAGCATAAGTAACTTGCACCTGTATGTTAATAATGTGCCAAATGTGGAACTTGCAGTTGCTTTGGCCTTCAGCACACAGCTTTTATAAAGGACTGTCCCCATCACAAAGGATCCTAGCTAATAGTACCCTTCCTGTTTAAAACTGATGAATTTTTGTGGGGGCTAAAGCACGAGCCAAATTCTGGCTTCTGTCCTCTGTTTTACACTGACTCACTGGCCCACATTGATGTAACCTACCTTGTTTCCTTCAGTATAATATACTTCTAATTGACTTCTGCTATGGATAGTACAGGCTTGAGATTATAACATAAATTCAAAACTTCAGTGTAATTTATATGGTGTTTTAACCTGTTTTCTTCTTTGCTTAGACTATTGCATACAGCATTCTATGGGACCTTAAGTTCTTGATGAGGTATGTCTGCTTCTGAGTTTTTAACAAAACAAAATTAAAACTGTTGTCTGTCACTGCCACACTGACAGAGGAAATGATCCTTGTATGTAGTATTTACTAGAAAGATTTTATGAATGGTATTATATTAAACAAGAGTTGACAGCACTTATATATATATATATATATCTGTACAGTCTGTGTTAAGCCATAGACAGCAGGCTTAGTGCTGTAGAAAGAAAAGACTAATCCTAACCCACTAGGATCTAAGTGCTTCTGCTACTGACCTCCTTGCTGAGAGCTCACAACAATTGTCTAGACTGGATCAGTGAGCTGCTATTATTTCCTAATTGCCTAAAATAGCAACTGGGCTTATGCGTGACTGAAGCCATTTTCTGAGAAAACTAAAACATGTAGATATTAAAGTGCTTTCTGGGACTTTAAACCTCGAACACCTTCTCTAAGTAGACGGCAGCGTTCTTAAACATGAGCTTTCTTGTCAAATCCTGAGTGATGGCTGGCTGTTACCTTTTCACTCCTCTCCTCTGAGGGGAGGGCAGGGGCCAGCACAGGAGCGGTACTCGTCTTACTACAACCCTGTAAATGTGTAACTCCTTTTAGCAGTGCTGCTGTTCTGTTTTCTCAAAGCAACCTCTGAACCACTTCGGCATGTATGGCTAAATCTAAGGTACAGAATAACTTCAACACAACTAGAGGCTGTAACAGATGCTAAGTGACTGTGCCTGAGCTGTGGGTGGACTTCTTGGCCAGGCTGTACATGTCTACACAGGGTTGTGTAGATCATTGTTGTGTACAACGCTGCTGTTTCAGCTGTGAAATCTACTGCAGACGCATTGCAAGGTGCAGAGTGGGTCACTCCTCGCTAGCATGCCGATTCTTACTGAGTTGAAATTGTCAGATAAGGCTTTCAATCTACAGATCAGTGCAAACTGTAATAAACTGGGGGGGGTTTTCCCCCCATTTCTGTCTTTCTGTAGGAACCTTGCCCTTGGGGGAGGCTTACTGCTGCTTTTGGCTGAGTCACGCTCAGAGGGGAAGAGCATGTTTGCTGGTGTCCCTACCATGCGGGAAAGCTCTCCTAAGCAGTACATGCAGCTGGGGGGCCGTGTGCTGCTGGTCCTCATGTTCATGACACTGCTACATTTTGATATGAACTTCTTTTCTGTAAGTATCTGTGTATAAAAGCATAAGTTAAGGAACTAGAATATAGTACCAACTCCCAGCTTGGCTGCAGGACCTACTCACTGCTTAGCATTTAAATCTACGTTTTAGTAGAATTAATATTTAGAAAAGTTAATTAATCATTTATGTCATGACAACCTGTTCTCCTGAACTTGTCCATGGTCTGTTCTGGTGTTTGTGTATCTATTTTAGGACCCATATATAAGCTTGTGGGTTTTTTTTCCTTGCAGATTCTGCAGAACATTGTGGGCACAGCCCTGATTATCTTGGTGGCAATTGGCTTCAAGACTAAGCTGGCTGCCTTGACTCTAGTCATCTGGCTGTTTGGCATCAACATCTACTTCAATGCCTTCTGGACCGTCCCAGCCTACAAGCCCATGCACGACTTCCTCAAATACGATTTCTTCCAGACCATGTCTGTAATTGGAGGGCTCCTCCTCGTGGTTGCACTGGGCCCTGGTGGAGTCTCCATGGATGAGAAGAAAAAAGAGTGGTAACAGGAATAGCAACACTTCTTGGGACATAACATACTAAGTCCAGAACTGATTCTCTATGGATTCAACAAAAACTGCCAGCATTTTACACGTACATGCCCCCTTCCTATTAAAGGCACAGATGTTTTGAATTTGATTTACGGTGGCACCAGTAATATAATAGATAAAATTCTATTTCTTCAAGGAATGTTGCCTAGGCTTATTCTAACTTCCTAGATTTGGAACTAACCCAAGGAACCTGCATTTTGCTGATGCTTCAGTGAGTTGCAGTAGAACAGTTGCTGTCTTTAATGTCGGCAATGTTTTAAAATTCAAAGTACTGTGAGCAGATACAGCTGTATCATTGAGTGTGCTGTTGGGTTCTTGCTATAACTAAAAAAGTGGATCCCCTTTCTCACCCTTGTCAAAACTGTCTTGTGCATAAGGAGTTCCATTGCTGGTTATAGCATTGCTTATCAAGGTGGAAAGCAGCATCAAAAAAAATCACTTGTTATTTAGCTGCTTAGTGACCTGTAATTTCCTTTTGTTTAACAATAGGGGCGGTCTTTTCTGCCCCCAAATAAAAAGAAAATTCTGAATGTCATTTTACCCCTCTCTAGCTAGGAAAAGGGAGAGGTTTTTCTAACGTGTCCCAGATCTGCTCTTGAGGGGAACAAGGAAGAATCCTGTATTGCTAATCAGGAACTGTGTATGGCTAATCAGATTTCAAGAAGGAAGTAAGGGGAAGATACTCCTGAAGAGACAGATTCTGTTAAAATTCTGTGCCAAAAGAACTCTTCATTCAGCATTCTTTCCCCAAATTTACCCCTCCTGAATTCCCAAGAAGGGAGCCAAGTTTTGCTGCAGGTTCCATGATAAAAGCTCCTTTCTGCTATTAACCACCTTCCATGCATATATGCCCCAACTTTGTATCTGAGTTGCAGGTTATTGGTGAAAATGTCTTCAGAATTACAGAAACTCCCCTTTTCCCTGCACTCACTGCATGCAAGATGAGAGCAGTCAGTCTTCTAATCTGTAGTCTTTGCTTCTTAGATTCACTTGTCAGCTGTAAAATTCCCAGCTGACTGAACAGCAGAGGAGCTGGGTGCTGAACTCACGTACAGCCCCTTGTCTCTGCCGTCTCAGACCACACCTGAGATGTGTAGGGAGGAAACGCAGAAGTCAGCTCTGTGCTGCCATAGCCCCAGTTCTCAGCTCTGTATGCAAATGGTTATAGCTGAAGAATGCAAGTGCAAAGCCTGTGCAGGGATCAGCAGCCAGGGATGCAACTTGCATGTTCAGAGAGAGGAACTCCTCAGGATCATGGTGAGGAGAGAGGAAGCCCCTATTCTCACCTCTCACAGTGCCACAACCTCTGTGCCATGAACGTGCTTAGTGCTGCTCAGAGGAGGTATTTTGTCCTCTGCTAGTCAACTAGTGAACCTATTTCACTAGATTATAAAAGAATTCTAGAAAGCATGAGCCCTACCAACTTGCTAACGTTACATTGATTCCTTGCACTGTTGTTGTCTCCCTTGAGAAAGCTGCTCAACTGTTTGTTCAAGGACTAATTCAGCTGGACACCTCCAGCAGGAGCTGTTTACCAGGGTCTCCTGGTAAGGACACTAACCCGGACAGTTGAGCTTAACGGTTGTATATTAGGAGAGAAAACTAGGCTGAAAGAATTGCTGACAAATAGAAGAGCACTGTTGAATGTTAAACCAGTGATTTCATCATCTTAAGGGGAAAATAGCCTATGTAATAGTAAGATGTGCTGCTGCTGCTGAAGGAAATTAATTGATATGTGGGGGTAGATGGGAGGGGAAGCCAGCACTTAAGTTCAGGTCATGTAGGAGATTTTCTTTTAAACAGGTTTTTGGCAAGAGAAGTTTTCACATCAAGTGTTCACTGTGCCTGTCTTCATAGCAAAACAAACCGTTCCTTTCAGTTAGGGATCCGCAGCACAGGATGGTTTTGGTTTATTCACTGCAGGGCCTAGAATGGTTTTAGACTACATCAAGGCAGCCATTCTCAGATACCTTCTTAATTACTGATCATGTTCATAGTATTTATAAATGGATTTATAGAAATGACTCCTGCAAGTAGCCCTTCAGTCAACTTTCTCAGCTTCTTTATGTCCTGCCTAACTAAGCAGCTGGATGACAGACTAGTCTGAAATATTGACCAGTTTCCTCTGTGAAAATCAAGTCCCCTTTCCAACAAAACACCCTAGAAAAGGAACTGATACTGTCCCTTGCAGCAGAAATATTTTGGTACTAAAGGGGCACAGTTAGGTGGAGGGCATTATAAGATATTTCTAGGCAGTGCAATATGCAGACTTACTGTGAGTCCTGATGCAGAAGACTATGGTTTCCTACATACACTGCTGTATTTGTGCATCTCCCAAAAATACAGTGACCTCTCCCCGGGGCTGAGAAACTTTCACAAGCAGGATGTCAGCTATCAATTGGCTCTGCAAAGTGTTCTGGAATTCATTCTGAATATATTTTTGCTTTCTATGTGGAAAAAAATAAATAAGTATAAATTCTCATTTTATGCTGTATTTTGTACCTTAGTTGTGTTTGAAAATGTTTTGATTTTTTGAAACAATCAAAATAAAACAATGGCATCTTTGTATCCACTTGATGTGTGTGACTGGTGACACTCCCCAGCCAGGCTACCCAGAAATGCTAGTTAGTGGTCTTGTGTGATTTCTCACCCAACTATTTTTCCATAAAGAGGTGTGAGCACTGGGCTGCCTGTGCTTGACTGCAGTTGTCATCCTTCCCTTGGTGATGGGTGATGGCTCAAGGCTGTTAAAATACAGCTTAATTCCACCCCACTGTTCCCCTCCCCAGCTGGAACAGTCAACTGGAATGGGCAAACACTTCAGCCAGCCTTGTGCACCCTCTAGAATTGTTATACCACAAGCTTCAGGCCATGTATTTATAAGAAAATTTATTTGCCATTGATTGCTTTCTTGAAGTTCTTGGGTTTTCGATTATGACTCTTGAATTTCTTCTTTAAAGGGCCTGACTGTTTCTGTAGAGAAAAATAAAGTTCATCAGCTTTTTCCAAAACCCAAATCCAGCCCTGCCCAAGGCAGGTTAAAGAGACTGAGTGTGGTCTCCTTTACCAGAGACAGAACAAGCACAGCCCTGCTCACAGAGCCAGCAAGGACATCTGCTTGCCCTGTCCTGCAAGTTAGCATTCCCTTCTCTGGCAGGCATGTGGTTTCATTAGGTACAAACAGTGACAGTCTCCCTGTAAAAATGAACCTCAACTTGATCCAGCATTCACTTTCCAGTTTGATACGGTTATAAAGGATCCAACCCCTCCCTCAGGGGCTGCCTTAGCAAGATAAAAAGTTTATCCAACTTTATGTATGTAACATCTGCCTGCTTCCCAAATGGAGAAGGATCAGGGTATGTCCTGTAAGGCAGGACCTGGCCAGCTCCTCAAAAAAGGACCCTGTGACTTCCAGAGGGTTTCAC